TGACCATCGGATCATCGGATCAGCAGACCATCGGATCATTGGTCAGCAGACCATTGGATCATTTGACCATGCAACGGATCATCATCGGACCAGCAGACCATCGGATCATCGGGCCATCGGCTCAGCAAATCATTGGAACGGATCATTCCTGGCTCAGCAGACCGTCGGATCATCGGATCAGACCATGGTCATCGGATCAGCAGACCATCGGATCAACGGACTATATATCGTATCGTCGACTCAGCAGACCATCGGGTCACCTGACCATCGGAACATCGGATCATCGGATCAGCAGACCATCGGACCACCGGATCAGCAGACCTTCAGATCATCGCATCATCGGACCATCGGATCGTCAGCAGACCATTGGATCATCGGACTATCGGATCATCGGGTTAGCAGACCACCAGACCACCGGTCCATTGGATTCTCGCACCAGGCAACCCCACGACCGTCTTACCTTGGCCCAAAAAGAATAGTCGATATCAAGGTTTAGAATTTTGGATATGGGAACACGAATCCGTTTTGCTGCATCAGCTGCCACAACAGCAAGCATCGCTCCACACTTCTGAATTCATCGTTGCACTCACGCAGGGAACGGCAACTGTGTGTCATGAAATGCAGCACAATACGAATTTGATGTGTGCAACCTTGTTTGCCAATTCCTTTGTTTCGGCTGAATGTATTCGTCGTTCAGTAGGATACCAATTTGGACCATTTGGAATTGTTTTGACATGGGTTCAAAGACATTTCAGTCACAGTGTGAGGCTACACCCATAAATGGTTTATCCAGCGACATGTTGAGAAAGAGACCTTAACGGCAGAACAGGACCTTGACTGCACGAGAATGATTCTTTTCAGGTCGCTATTGATACCACATTGATTTTATCACCTTTATTGAGCAACCGAGCTGTCACAATATGTTGTTTCCATGTACTAACTCCTTATGTTATTATTTTTCCTTTCCCACCTGGTTGATGATCTGCAACTCAATCCCACCGAGTAAAACGAAACTGTCCCCAGCCCCCGCTCCCCCCCCCATTTACTGAAAATAATTGTTTGTATATAGATCAAGATACGCGGAAAGAGATTGTGAAACAGATTCTTAGGCAACATTGCTCATCACCCTTTCCGAAAAGGCTCTTTCCGGCCTCACAAACCGAACTCGATCCTAGCGAACCTGGTTCGGTCTCGAAAAAAATATACTTAATCTAACTACCTAAATGACTATAAGATAACTATCCTATTCCCCCTGTGGTATCCTGCACAGACATAGGCATAGTGGCATAGTACTAGTAGTAGTAGTAGTAGTAGTAGTAGTAGTAGTAGTAGTAGTAGTAGTAGTAGTAGTAGTAGTAGTTAGTTAAGTTGTAATGGAGGAGGAGAAGGAATCCAAGCCCTGGTCTTGTCGTTTGTGCCTGCATGGACTGTGACAGTGGCAGTCCTCCAACCACTGAATCCATTGTTCTGGACCATGGATTATTTTCACCTTGGCCGGCCAAACCCCTGCTATGTACAAGCGGGTGCGTGATTGCGGCACCCCAAAGCTGGCGCTGTTCGTGAATACGGCGACGCATTCATAGCCAATTCGACGCAAGGCTGACAGGACAGTGTCAGCTGTGTTCTTTCTCGCGACATTTTCGATGATGATATAGGCCTTAGGCCAAATGAGGCAGGCGTGACAACCAAAGAATGATCTTGAACTAAGATTCTAAGATTATGATAATTAAATAAAATGATGACTCATGACTTCAGGATGCAATCAGCACCAAACCAGACTGTCAGATCAGACAATGGCCAGTGACTTCAATGACCAAAGCAACCATACTTACCAGTAACCAAAGTATTCTGTGGGCCCCGCTGGTTTTTTTTCCTGCACATACTCCAAGGATTTCACTAAAGTCTTGCTGCTCATGCCAGACCTGAAGCCGACAATAAAACGTTTTGATTTTGAATGATGGACCAGTAATAGTATGCATTAATGATTAATGTATTTGCTGTCTTTGTTTGAAATTGAATTGCGTCGTTAGAAATGTGGCCCAGGGTGGCCCACGTTGCTATCTAAAAAAAGACTTAGGTCAGCTGAGGCTGTCACTGCTCATCAATGTCCAATGTCAATTCCTTTCTAGCCACATTCAAAGTGCTTAGATCCTGGCGAATGGAAGCGCAAAGCCGTATCATCTAAATCACACGCAGCCCGGAATCTCACAGCAGGAATGTCGCCTGGCATTCAAAGCCACCAGTATACCAATCGACTTCCGGTATATTGACTACCTGACCTGGGTCAGTCATATCATGAAAAATACGCTTGCCGCTTCACTAACTCAAACAAACACCTTGAGCCTCATTGAGCAATCTTGGATCCGCACCTGAAATCCAGTCTGGTCCAGTGTCTTGTGAATGATCTCTTGCCTCAACTGCCCAATGTGTTGGTTGCTGCTGAAGTATATAGTACAGTATAGTGTAGTGTAGTGTAGTAATAGTAAGCATATAGCATCACTGTAAGTCACAGCTGGGCACAAGGCAAACATGTCGTTGAAAATGATATTCGGGCCACTTGGTGTGGCGTTCAACAACAGCATCCTCTTTTGCCAAATGCCTTCTTGGCCTAAAGACATCACACCAAAACATAAACAACAAAAACATGATTCACTGTCACGTGCCTGGCGCTTCAGACGCAAAATCATAGATCAGGTCTTTCATTTCAACATCGGCTGCCTTCCCAAAGGAAAAGTTCAGTCAGAATTCAGCCAGCCAGAATTCATCATGAACAATTGATGATCCAGGCCAGGCCTTCATTCCCGTGAAAAGCTCACGCAGGGCCCACCACGGCGCATCTAACCCTGAGCAATCACTACCGTACGACGAAGGGTGCCTTTTGTTCAGGAGGTGCTCCCTCAGCACATCCAAGACAATGGCAACCCATTGGCACCCTGTAGCTGCAATTCTCTCTCCTTTGGTAGAAGTCTCAGCCTCAGGTGTTTTCAATCTTTGTGAAAATGCTACCTGCGCTGAAAATGCAACGCATTGCAACCAACCAACTGTCAGCTGAGTCAAGACCAGCTGGGAGTCAACAAAGCTGGCAAAATCAAAGTTGTGAGAGTAGTATCGATGGTCTGGTGCATCTGAGTCAGATTCAGAGTCGTCAGATGGAACCTGAAATGCCTCAAGCTTGAATCCACTCTCGTATAGGCATTCCAACTTCCGTTTCAATCTTTGGCCTCGTTGCCTGCTCACCCAGGGCACCAAAGCTGACAAAGATGACTGAAGATCGTTCATTTTTCATCAGTGATTTGCAGAGTCATTGATGCATCTGTAGGAGCTGTATCTGTCGCAGCTTCCTCCTGACTAGCCCTGAGACTGACACTGACGCAATTGAGAGGATCGTCTTCTGAATCTGACTCAGACTCCTTTGACTTGCCTCCACACCCGAGGTGATGGTCATCCAGTGGGTGAATGCCAACCTGGCCAAACACTAGACTAGCAGCATACAATCAATAATTGTTGATCAATCATATAATATATATATATCATATCAGAAACACTGAACTGAACACTTGAAATTGTTGTTGTTATTCGTTTTCACAAACTTCAAGTTCAACATTTGGTGTCACCATACATTTGTCATCCGCCTCAATTTGGACTACTGCTTCTGCTGGCGGATGTACAGGTCCAGAAGCTGAGGCAGAATGATTTGCTGCTATTGAACCTGTAAATGCCTGCATCGCAGTCAAACACAGTCAGAGTCAGAGTCCAGAGCTCAAACGGTAAAGGCAAAAGTTCTTACTTACATGAACATTGGCATTGTCATTGTTGTACTTGCTACACGAGCAATACAACTGCAGGAACCAAGGACTCAAGACATCATATGAGCGAGTCATTTGTAAATTGTGATTGCAAAACACAAAAACTAAAAATCTCACCCCTGTGAGCCCCAGTGCAATCGGCAATCTGTGAGTGTTGATGGCCTTGTCGAGAGGGTCTTCTTCTTCATCAGACTCAGACTGAGCCTCGTCGGTTGACTCACGCGCATATGGCACTCAAACGTGGTGGCATGAAACATGTCACAGTCTCAGTAACACCTTGGTAACTTGGTACACTGTTTTCATTAAATAAATCACATCAACCACCTGCAACCAGCCTCAAGTTACAAACACAAAGTTTGACAATGAGTCAATGACCTTAGTTTCACCCAACCCAGAATGATTCATCATCTGCCTGCCTGAGTGTGGACTACTGCCTGAGGAGATAAAGCTGCAGAAGCTGAAGCCAAAGCATGGTCTGCCATTGGAACTTGACACGCCTGCGGAGCTGCTGCTAGCATTGACACCGCTTCACTCCATTCCAACAAACAACCAACTACAAGAGTCAAGAGTCAAGAGTCTAAGCGCCTCAAGACTCAAGTTTTTTTGAATTTATGTCGTCGTTTCTAAGTTTCACCACAGCCACACACGTTTCTAAGTTTCACCACAGCCACACACGTTCTTTGGTCGCCTGAGTGTGGACTGCTGCTTGAGGAGGTAAAGCTGCATGGGTTGAAGCCAAGCCCGTTGCCGCTGCTGAAACTTGAATTGCCTGTGCCACAACCAACCACTTGTCATATCCACTACATTTATTTACCTCATTGATTCATACGTGGCTTTAAACAAGAAAAACACTGTAGACAGGCATTGACAGCATTGAGGTCATTGATCAGGCAAAGGCCTCCAAAGGGTCATCACATGTGTCTGAATCGGAGTCATTCCAATCGCCACCCCCATGGCCAGTGGTCATGACACTAGTAGTACTAGTAGTACAGTGGTGGTGTCCAATGAGTCAATGATTCAATGATGCTAATGGCCCACTCCTGTGTATGTGCTTATGTGACACAGTACAGTACAAATTTATGTTTTGAGTTTGTGTGTGCACTGCACTGCTTTGCATTTATAGATTCTATTGATTCTATAATTTTATATTGTTTTGAGCCGCGAGCCTTTCTCAACACAACAACAGCAACCATTGGTGAACTGACACCCCAAAGTCTTCAAGCAATTCTTTATCTGACCAACTGATGCAATGTTGAGCACATGTTCATTGTTTTCGCTGATTTTTGTGTCACTTATGTTCTTGTTTTGCAGCCCGCATTCATTTGGCGGCAGGCTGTTGGTCTTTGGCGTGCAATGCAATGTGCTTGAAAGTTGTTGAATTTGGGCTGGCCACCGACCTAGTGCTGGCACCCCAAAAGCACAAGTGGTGGCTGACAGCTGTGCCTCTAAGTCAAAGTATTCTAGTGGCCGTCAACAGTCCAAGGAAACATTGCTCCTGCTATAAGCTATCCTACTTCAACAAGAATCCCGACTCAATCTGGCTCAGACTGTATCCAGCAAGGTTCCTGATCCCTGCAGCCTTCAGCCATCGAAAACAAAAAATCAACAAACATGTCTTTCAACAATAAATGAAATGAAAACAAGGAAGGTCCGCTATATCATTTGCTTTGCGTTGCTTCCTATAAACTGACGGAGCTGACTGAAGCTGACTCAGGCATCAGCATCCAAGCTCAACACAACATTGTCATTGCCAGCATGGCCACTAACTTTGACTAACTCTTTGCAAAGCTGTACATCACTGAATGTGACGCAAACACTGATCTTCTCTGCACTCTTGAATCATTGTGCAGTCTCATCATGCCCGGCGATGAGCCGCTGTACAGCTTCTTGCAAACTGACAGGCAGCTGCTGCATACTGATCTCTCTCAGGCCTAGCTTTTCTTGGAACCCCTTGGCTTTGCTGGACGTTTTTGATTTCAGAACGCTGATGCCTGATTGACAGGCTAGCAAAATCTTTCCAGCCTGAAGCATTGATGTTGCCTCTTCGAACACTGGATTTGGATTCTGACTGTCGTTCAGGCCTTGATGCTTGAGGACTGCACTTTGAAGTGCAGCGTAAGCAGTGTGAAGCCCCTTTTGCTTGGACACTTCATCTCTCACTTTGTCTAACGATGCTTCCATAAGTCTGGTCAGCATATGTTCCCCAACATCCAATTGCCGCATGGCATTGACAGCCTCAACCAACTCCTTGCTGACAGGTGCAGTAGTCTCTTCACCTGATGGAGTTGAACGTGTTTTGTCCAAGTACATCTGAAACAAAGTTCTGACTTCCTTCTGCGCCTCACTCTCCCCGTCCTGCCAATCAATAGGAATTAAACATTGAAATTTGATAGGTTATAGCTCATTGTGTCCAAAATTTCAGCTAAGTTGACAGTTAGAAAGAAGCTCATGTACTCATGGCTCATTTGACTCATGCGAGTCGAGTCTGAAGTCTGAAGTCCTTCTGGGTAGGTATCCATGGCTTGATTGCGGCCAACGCCTCTTGGTCCAGTGCAGGTGGCATGATGCCAGACTCAGGTTTAAGAACCCTTCCCACCACAGATGTAGCCGTGGTCGATACAATGTTCCTTGGATTCGGACGCGGCAAACTATTCTACAAGTGGCCTAGAAAACAATATCGACGACTAGCAGCAGCAGTAGCAGCAGTTGTAGTCGTAGTCATAGAGTTGTGGTAGCAGCAGCAGCAGTGGCAGTATAAATAATAGTCAGTCAAAGTATCCTAATTGAGTTCGCTGACTCACCCAAGTATTGGTTGCATTTGCCAATGTCAAAGACGGCTGACGCGTAGTCCAGGAGAGACAAAGCCTTCTCCAAGCTGGAGTCTGAATCTGAATCCTTTAAGCGCAAGAAGACAGCCACATCAGCAATGTATGCCATCAGTGATCTCAAAGGAAAAGTCAATTGTCCAACATGATGATCATACTTTCCACAACATGTTTCATTCCCCTTCACACTGTCGCAAAAGCTCACGAAGTCACTATGCAAATCGCTATAGTTGATGTTTTCCTTTTGCGATAATCCCTTGACCGTTGTTGCAAACATCTGTCTC